TAGATATTGATTTACAAGATGTTATTCTACATGTGACTTTATTAAGTCACCTTGTCAATTTACAGACAGTGAATCAAGGTAAGTTAAGTTTTCCGCATTGAATTCATATTGTTCAATTGTGTTTAATTGTTTTGTAAAGTTAGCTGGTTAATGTTAGTGGGATATAGATGGAATTAGAGCATGACTAAGTTGCTGCGCGCTGATTGGCTAATATCCTATCCAATCAGCGCCTGATCGATTCTTGGAGAACAGGGTAGAAAATTCTCGTGTTGTTAGCTGCACGCTGATTGGCTAAATCTAATCCAGTCGATCACGTGAATTACAATCCAATCGGCTTCTTATTTCCACTTAACCTTGTTGCTATTTGGAATATAATCTTTTCCTGTTCCACCGTGTTTTTTGATTCTTTGGAACTTGTCCTGTGGATTGTGGTCAGAGGAATTAGCCGGGCATTATCTAAGCAAGCGTTACAACAGTTACTCTATGCTAGGATAAGTTTGTCACGGTAAATAAATCCACAAAATACATTGTTCTGTTAGTCTTCGACATTGGTTTTACTAGGCCCACCCCTAGGTGAATGAGTTCGATCATGTATCCACATGAGATCACCAATGGGTACGCTGTGCTACACGTCCTTCGCACGCCACATGACACATCAACTATCTTCCAAATATATCATCTTCGAACTTGTTAGGATATTCACCAAATAACCTAAGAGTACTATTTTTGGAAGTATAATCCTATTGGTCGATTTCTATTGGTCAAAATTATGGTCGTTTTAATTGACAAAGTCAAATACCTCAATGTTGTCTCTTATTGGTCATCCGGACTGTCAATGTCACAGACTTCGATGCTCTTTCCTATTCGACCTAAATGAATAAATACGCACTATCTGTAAGACTTCATGATTCCGTTTCTGCCTGCCTACCTCTTTTGTGTACTCGACCGAATAAACAACTCCATCCAACGGTGTTGCGTTCTGATATATAGGAGATTTGGGTCGTACTGGGATATTTGAATTTGGACGCCGCTAGGACTGAATAGCTATACGTAGCAGCATTATAACAGAACTTCTTCATTCATTACTTATAGTTTGACTGGATTTGTAATCCTTGATTGTAAACGTGTTACAGACAAAGGCATTGTAAAGCTCTGAACAAACTAGTTGTCCAGTTTTGTAAAACAGTTTAATATTGTTTTGAAATTCTTAAATTAGTCTGTTCTTGGTGGCCTTAATTGTGATTGGTCGTTTTCGTAGGTTTCATTATTGTCTTTAGTTGTGTTTTCTGTTCAAGATGACTTTTGACCAGATTATTACTTCATCTTTCGCTAATAGATTATTAGATCGGGTCTAAATTGATTTGCTTACTGATCTAGAAAGTCCCTAACATTTTTCAAATGTTGACGTTCTCTTACTCGAATTCATGTACGTAGTTATCGACATGAATTGATATCAATGATACCATATTGTATCGTACCACTGATACTTTTTGTTTGTATAAGTAGAAAGGGCGCCCATTTTTTTCTGATGAAGTACTTATCACAGTCAGTATAATTTATTTTGTAGATGATACTGAAGCATTTTTCCTATCATTGTTGTATCTTTTAGTTTGCATAAAACAGAGTGGGGTGATAGTGTTGTTGGTTTATGAACAAGATTAGTTCTAAAGAGTTTCGAGATCCTTGTGGATATTCCTGAATTATTCCAAACATATATATATATATAGCGGGATTATCGTCTCCCTATTTTCAGAGACTGACTTTATACATGGTAGGTTAAGCCTCCAAAGATTTTGATGAAATTTCTAGAATAGCCCCGACCGTAGCTGCTACCTTGATGTGGTGGTCGGGCTTGCCTATCGTGATCACCCAAAGGAGCTATATTGACTGGAACATATGTTTCCGTAGGTTCTACCAGGCCAGGCAGGTCGATTGGAGAACAGTAAGACTAAAAGCAGCTACTCAAGGTCAGAGGGCGAAGTCGTACTGCTCACTGTAGAAGGGTGTGACTGCGGTAAGGTGTTCTCCTTGGACAGCCTGCATCTGCAATCATGCTGCCTTCTCACAAAGAAGGAAAGGGTTAGAAAAGGTTGACCCTAAAAATGTCACACCTTACCTTATCTCACGGATTTCCGTCCCTGGCGGTAAGGCCTTTTCAAAAATAGAGGGGCTAATATTTTAGAAACTTCTCATAAGGCCGTACGTGACCGGCTTCATGTAGTTTTCCCTCGGACTCTGCGGCCACACATCCAGGTCTCCAAGACCAGCGCTAATTCAATTTCCTTCTCAGGTTCCCCAAGGAACACCCACGGTGTGGGTAGCCAGAAAGTGACAACCGCCTTCATACCCGTACCTGCACACGAGACCAAATTGGTCAAAATAGCCATTTTTACGAAGTATAGACAGATGGGTTTCCTTTATTTTCCCACTTGGATAACTTGAATCAATCTCTGATGTGAATAGTGCGACGTAGAAAGTTTCCATTCTCAAAAATATTTTACCGATTACAATCATTCATGTACGTACACTTGTCCTTTATCAAAAATCAATATTTTATCTTGTATTTTCATCTGTAGATGTCTTATCTATCCTCGGTATTCAAGCAATTCTTCGAGATATTTCCAGAATTCATCCTATCTTAAAATTATTCACCGATTCTTCTTCTTGTTTAACACCGAATTCATTATTATTATGCTCTAATCTACAAGCACCATTAAATTCAATCTCCAATAATCTCATCAAATTATGTGAGACATTAGCAAAAAAATCACAAAATAAACGTGAAAACAAATTCGACTTGAAATCGACCAACAGTCAACATATCAAGAAAACTAAACAAAAGAATAGAAGCACCATTAATCGATCAAAAGAACAAAACAACATCTCTGAAATAATGGATCATGAAAATTATTCTCCTGAATCGATATTACTATCGAATATATTAGCAAAACAACAATCGGATAATGTTAGTTTAACAAAACAAACTCTCATCATCAATGAAACCAATAATGATTCGTCAACATGTCAAGCATTATTGAATAGTCAATGTCAAGTATTACAATGTCAAATTGAATATTTAACAGAGTATTTAAGTGGATTATGAGGAAAAAAAAACACAGAAATATTTACTACCTAAACTTTCTATTTTCCTATTTGTAAATTTGATTCTGTTCCTTTCTATTACTATTTTTTTGTCCAGAATGTTAAAAGAACTGAAGTTTTTTTTTTAAATTATTTGTTTAGATACACTATTTGAAAATAATTTTTATTTTTCACATTAAAATAAGATTTTTACAAATAAAATTCAACATAGAGAGATGTATTGTTGATTATTGGAAGAGGAGAATGTGTGGTTGAGGTTCCGTGTTTATGTTTGGGAGGTTAGATCCCTAGAACTTATTTGATAAAGGCTTTGATTTTGAATTTTATTCATGGGATGGTCGGTTGACCTTGAAATCACATTTCCCACCAGGAAAATCCTTGGCTGTGATTGGTTGATGTGTTATTTCAGTTTGCTATTTTTGTGGCTCTCTTAAGGGCGTTTCTATGATGTATAAATAAACGTGATTCGTGTGTGCTTGTGGACCTCATATTTTCTGGGTGCTTGTAAAATTCACTTTTCAGGCTATATCAAGACTTTTCGGTCAGTTAGTTTGGTTCAACGGATCTCGTTCTCGTTTATAGACTAAGGCGAACTCGTAATAGCATTCAAGCATAGCAATCTGACAAGCATTACAGTTTAAACTTATGTTGTTGTAGTTCCTGTAAACTTGTAACTACTTTTACAATCTGTAAGATATGAAAGTTAATAAATATTGCAAACTATGCCATTTTGTGTTTTAGAGAACTTTTATTATTTTAATTTAAACTGTTAAACTTTAATTCTTGTGAATTAGAGATGATAACTTTATTTTTTAACACGTTGAAATCAAAAATTTGTCAAGTACCTTTTGATTGTTGTATTATTTTGTAATGAACAATTCATATTATTTTTTCAAAAAACAATATGGTCGTTCGTTAATTAAAATCATTAAAATGAAATCATATTGGTTTTTGTCATTTTTAAAAAAAGAAAAATGATCTCATCATCAGTCGATATCATGTATAATGGGTTTTGATCATACTTCATGTCTGAGTGCTAATGATACACTATTGAACGATTCAAATTATTAGAGTAGGTAGAATGGGACTGGAACTTGAAGGTCGAATCTCCCTCCTAACCACTACGTAATACGTGTTTTTTGTAGCTTCTGTGTCCAAATATGTGCGATAGTGATATAAACACTAAAAATAGGTCTCATCAATGAACTCAGTGATCGAATCACTGATATAGGTAGCCTAGTTCCTCGTCCATGGATTTGCTCATTTTTAATCGACTTTTTATTTGCTGTTGTGTTCATGAAAAAGTCTCAGCCAAGCAAAGATCTATGTACAAGCGATTGCACTATCTTTTGAAAGTGGTTCCAATCACAGGAAAGTTGACATATGCCGACATTCAGATGAATTACTAACTAACACCAGCTGATGAAGTTTCTGTCGGGTCAGCAAATACAAAGACCATGCCTGATACTCAAGAAATAAATGTAATCAATGTTGCTGAAAACAACACAACACCGGATAAAAGCACAACTTTTGCGGGTTTTTTTTTCCATGCCTGGTAATATATATAAACTTAAAGGCCACTAAGATAGCCAACTGAGAATACAACATAGTAAACAAAAAAGGTCTCCTCTCCGATAATCATTATATAGTTTTTATTTCTAATTTGATAATGTCCAATCGTAATGAACCTATTGGTTCAAGATGGTAGTACTATTATTCTACAGTGAAATTATCCGTCAAAATGATTTCATCAGTATACAACAGCAACTTAGAGGGAAGGATTAACTGACTTATGTGATACTAAACGTGATATATGCTTATTAGAATTTTTATTGCGTGCAGAACTAATGGAGAGTGCTACTTTCGCTTGGTAACACTAGTTCACAAGTGCTTGAAACTAGAATTGTTTGAAATTCGATACTTTCAAAGAGACGATATAACTTGATAGCAATCTAAAGTTTCAGTTACTGTGCTATCCATATTTAAGCCTGCGATTATAAATCCATGACTGGCAGGCTGAGCGAGCACATTCTTCAGTACATGCAAGTCCTGATGGAAGTATTTCTCTTCTAGGTTCTCGAAGTATAACTTCATGTTTATACATGCTATTATTAGAATTCATCGCGGTTACCCGATAAAAATTTCAACTATTACTTTTCAATGCCAGCTCACCAATCAGGAATCCGTTTAGATAACGTGCTAGTATAACGGACTCAGAAATATCATTCATGCATTTAATTACTATATATTACTGCAGTGAATCTGAATTTTAAGGGATCAGTAAAAGATTTAGTCTGATCAAATTGTAGAAATTCAAATACCACAGATAACTGTAATATCTTTCCACTTATTCAGCTATTAAATTCACGATCAAGTAATATCTCCTTTGTTCCTTAGTGCTACTTTTGTATTTGTCGAACTTCATCAGTTGAGGTGGTTGGGATATGTGCTGCGTATGCCAAACCACTGACTGTCTCGACGATCTTTGTTTTGTAGTGTAAGAGTAAGTTGGAAGAAAGCTAGGGGCGGCCAGACCAAAACATTGCAGAAGTCTATGAAGTCATTGACGAGGGGACTTAGCCATGTCGGTAGTTGTCGACTACCTGGTTGGGGTCCACGAGATGACAAAAATCCATGGTTAGAGACCCTGAATGACATGGCTGAAAACCGTTTGCAATGGCTCCGGTGCATTTATTCTTCGTGTTCTCTCAAATCCTAATCCTCTGAATTCTTTAACCCCCCTAGTTTTAACTTACCAAACTTTTCTCACTGAATCATACTTCTTGAATTAATATCTTCTAATGCCAACCTCTCCGATTATTTCTAATACCTTTACTACCTCTTCTACTATTGGATTTGAATTGACAATTATATCTCTGTGCTGATGTGGTATGGCAAACGAACTTACGTACGAAGTTCTGCGTTGCATGACTGATTTGCCGAACTGGATCAACGCCTGAGTAAAGTAGGTGAGCGTATCGATCGCTTAACTTATCAGAAATCTCACCAGTTTTGGTGAGTTAGTGTTTGACGAAATCTCAGCACGGATTCGGAAAGCTTGTTTGGCTTTTGCCAACCCGCGTCACTTGTGGTATAGACAAGATGTCTGTTTGCCGGCTGAAGAATTAGGTTACTGTACGGGAGTTTGCTCTGTTTAACTTTATGGGTGAGTCATAGCCGTCAAGAGTAGAAAACACTTGTAGGCTACTCATTGCTCGTATATTTTGGAACCACTGAGTGAATAATTCCGAGTTTAAGAAATATAGCACTAAGTAAAGATGACAAGTCGGTTGATCGCGTGATAAATCGTCCGCTGAGGCGGTTAGGACATTTAATACGTATGCCAGATCATTGCCTACCTTGACAGCTGAATAGGTTAGAGAAAAGCTAAAGGCTATTAGACAAAGATTTGGTATTAGTCCATGAAATCACTAACTGTAGGATCGTGCAATTTAAGTACATATTGCCTAGCTGGGATCCGCATAATCATTGTAACCAATCGTTTGAGACTAGGTGGCATGACTTACAGTTGTTTGCGGCGGCGGAAACGGGTTAACTTTGTCTTCCTTCAGTTTATGAATACTGGTCAAAGACCCTGAATGACATGGCTCAAAATCGTTTGCAATGGCGCAGATGCATTCATTCTTTGTGTTCTCTCAAATCCTAATCTTCAGAGTTCCTCATCACCTTTATCTTTCCAAGTTTATTTCACTAGATTCTACTTCTTGAATAATATCTTCGAACTCTAATCTCCCCGATTACTGCTAATACTTTCACTACCTCTACTACTATGGAATATGAGTTGACAATTGCATCTCTGTGCTAATGTGGTATGGCAACTTGAACTGATGCACGTTGTTGTTGTTTGAGTGATTATGAATACTGAAGTCCTCCCCTTTTTTGTTCTCATCTAACATCTACCACTACTACTAGTGATAATGTTACTACTGTTACTCCGGGATCGATTATGATAACTCCATCTCAATTCGCTTATGTGGTATGAAACGTATCAGTATCTAAGTTGCGATATAACTAAGCGATTTGCATTCAATACATTAAAAACTAAGGTACTTCTTTTATTTTATTGTAATTTCAATTAAAAAGTACAAATTTAAATAATAATTGACCTTGATTACTGTGCACTAATACGATAAAATTTTCAGTCAAGTCATAAGTTTTTGCCTATCTTTCATCCAGCCTACTCGATGACTACTACCACGTGTTGATTGACCATATGTTGTAAAACATTCTTAATACTGTCTGCGCAAGAGCAGTCAATAAATAATACACAATTCCCCAAACAGAACAATAGATGGAGGAGGAGGAGGAGAATAAGATTGAAAACTAATCTATTTGAGAAAGATGAGTTACTTTGAGATTGGTGATGATGATGATGATAAAGGTTCTTTGTTTACTAGATATGTAGTTTTGGTTTTAGTCAATTAAGATCTGTAAATAAAATTTAAAAACCAAAACAAACAAACAAACAGCACAGTTATTCTCTATCTAAAACTACAAACTTGACAAATTTCTTTTCTTTTCTTTCTTTTTTCAGTTTTAAATATACATGTTGTTATATGGAAAAGTTGAATTTAATTTAATTCAATTCAATAAGAATAACGTAATGTGTGAGATATAATATATGGTTTACATGCATAAGAATGGATGAAATGAGACAATCTAAGTAGTAATAATAAGCAAAAGAAGTGAAGACCCGAATTTCTTCTTCTTCTTCACAATAATGATTTACACAACAAGGATTTCAGCAGATAATAAACACAGCGGCAAGTTTTATTGCTTACAAACAAACAAACAAACATTAAAAAACATCACTTCAATGAGGGGGGGGGGAAATAACTACAGTTTTCTTTTAGTTAGTTTGTTTGTTTGTTTATTCAACAAGGGATATCCAACAAGATATGCACAGAGTGTTTGTTGTCTGTTCTATGATGGTAAAAGTCAAATAATGAAAATTTTAAGACAGCAAAATGAAAAAAAAAGAAACTTTGAAGGATTTTGGATTATTTCTCTTCACACCATTCATTTTCTTTCTTGACCTAACACACAAGGAAAAATGAAAAATATGAGGAGGTATAAATTATCAAGCAAAAAAAGTAATTCATTTATATGTGTAGTGCCTCCGCAATATGTTCCACTTAGCTTACATTTAATTTGGTTAAGCCCTTTCGATTAATTTATTTAACCAAGCCATTTGTATTGCAACAATTTATATGGATGTACCATTCGTTCTTATTATTGTCTGGTTTGTATGAGCTCACATGACGTGTTCCACTTGTCATTTGACCTTGTCAATCATTCGTCGCCTTTATTCATGTGTGTGCATGTCTATCGCGTTGGTCACATGTCTGTCTTATATTTGTCTGACTATATATTCTCAGTCACGCTCTATCTCTTGGAGTATTCATAACTACGACTTCACCTTCTGATTTATAAACCGTCAGACGCTATTTAATGACGATTGTCTGGACGAGCTAATAACCGAGCTTAACAACACGAAGTAAACTGACACACTACATATGTACTTCAAACAAATGAAGCAATGGTTTTGGTGATTAAAGTGTTCAACTTTCAGGTAATGATTTCCATGTGCAAATCTCGCTCTCTACTTTGGTTTGGACAACCTAGATAATTGTGATGGAGTTTCGTTCTCTGTGAGCTGAATATTTTGGTTTGTTGTGGAGCTTTCATTGTTGTTCTTCTGAACAAACAGCAGCATCATCAGTATAAACTTCAGATAGAAGAAGTGAAGTATTCGAATTTCTCCACGTGTATGACCCGTAGCTTGTTTTGTTAACCTAAATCTTGATTGGTTGTTATTGACCTTAAACTTGTCCTTGCTTGCACCTTTATTTTAATTGTACTCCGCTTCGATCTATTTCTTGATCTGATATTAGCCTATGATTTTTCTGATTAGTAGTTGATAAATTAGGTCAATATCAATGTGTTTGTTGATTGCTGACTCATCTGAGTGCCAAGCTTCTAAAAATTCCCTAGTGTTCTTTACGCTCCTTCCCTATTCATTACTGGATAGAACAAGCTACAGGTCATACACGTGGAGAAATTTGAATACTTCACTTCTTCTACCTAAAGTTTATGTTGATAATGCTGCTGTTTGTTCAGAAGAACAACAATGAAAGCTCCACAACCAACTTAACATTCAGCTCACAGAGAACGAAACTCCATCACAATCATCATCTACTTGAGCTACAAATTTTCTCCATCATCTCACATTTCACTTCCCTACTCCACTGTTATCTATCCATACATTCTTCAGTACTCTTGACTAACTGAATGTCTGACAAACCAACTATCCCAGAGTATTCTCTGGGTTTATAATAATACTACTAGCTCTCATACCTGAGGTATGGTTTATATCCATCAAGCTTAGAACAAAATAGATGTAAGGCTCTACTAACCTTAATGCGTAAATATGTCTGACCTCAAGCAAACCCTTTAAAAAAACTGTGTAAAGAATTTGGTACATCTGAGATATTGTCAGTTGGTATTTATGTCAATTGTACAAGTTGATATGTTGGATTCAACTAACTTAATTGCCTATCTGAAAGAGTATTTATCCTATTTAATCAACAGATTACAGAAAAATCTTTCTTGATCATCACTTATAAAAAAACATTAATCTGATATGGAGCGTGTTGACTGGATGCTCTCTACCAGATAGTTGGTCTTTCTACTTTGCAGACATATAAATGTGTCCGAATTTGAATATTGACTGTCAGCAATAAGACGAGAAATACCAAATAGGTAGGTAAATAAATGAGTTTAAGGAGCTATAAGGCTTAAACATATAGGCAAGGTGAGAGGGATAGAGTTCTATGTAAGAACTGATGATAATTTGTTAGGATTAAGCACCCTAATACTGGTTATAGCATTGCAAAACAATAAACTGTTAACACGTAATAATTAGTTTTTAGATTAATTTTTCAACAGTAAAAACTATTATAATTAATTGACAAAACAGCGACCAAATTGATCATACTGATGATTGTGCTGAACGGCTGGCTAGTAAACATTTAGTCAGGATTGTGTTTTTCAAATTGGTTGCTTAAAAGATATTATAGAAGCGAGTGTAGGACCTACGTTTAATGATTGTCAACATGATATACTATTTACTTCTAAAAGAATTACGTTTCCTCTTAGAATTGAAACCACCTATTTTAATTAGTATGGAAGTCAGTCAGTCAGTTGCAACGTAGAACTTCGTACGTATGTACATCAGTTCATGTTGCCATACCACATTAACACAGAGACGCAAATGTCAAATCAAATCCCATAGTGATAAAGATAGTAGAGGTATTAATGGTAATAAAGAAGACTAGAGTTCGAAGATATTATTCAAGAAGTATAATTAAGTGAAATAAGGTTAGAAAGACAAAGGTAGAGGTGCTGACGAATCCGGGAGGTTAGGATTTGAGAGAGCTCAAAGAGTGGATGCACCTGCGCCATGGCAAACGATTTTGAGCCATGTCGTTCAAGGTCTCTAACCATTGATGACTTTCGTCTCGCGGACCCCAACCAGGTAGTCTACATCTACCAACATGACTCAGTTCACTAGTAAGTGACTTCATGCATTTCTGCCATGTTTTGGTCTGGCCGCCCCTAACTTTCTTCCAACCTACTCCTACACCACAAAACATGGCTCGTCGAGGCAGTCGGTGGTTAGGCATACGTAACACATGTCCCAACCACCTCAACTGATGAAGTTTCACCACTTCATCTGTTGATCTGCCATCCTTACCTAGTACTCGTAAGGAAGTAGTATCGATGAGTTTATTCAGTCGAATAACCTCAAGAAGTGAACTATCAAAGTATACATACAATGTTTTCTAATATTTTAAATAGTTTTTGAGAAGATATTCTCGTTAAATCACTGGTATATTTATTATAGGTGTAAGTTTACAACTAAACACTTACCTGTTCTTCTTCTTGGGGTGTGAAATCGCATTTAATATTGAAAGTTTTGCGTATTTCTTCTGGTGTTTTTCCTTTGATCATATTAGCTACAGTTTTACAGCATACATCCAGGAGTCCTCTAATATCAAGATAGTTGGCTGCTAACATCAATTCAAACAATGTTCCTTGATCAACACGCAAAAACTCTTGATCCCAGCTAGGAATATCATCTGTACGACGTTCTTTGTTTTCGTCATCTTCCTGTGGTGGTGGATCATCTTTATGATATGTGCACCACTGGATAACTTTACGTAGAATTCCAGCATTGACATTTGGAAGGGGAACTGGCTCTTCATCTCCTTGCTCCTCCAATCCTAAGTCTATAAAAGACAACAACAATACACAGCATCTTAAGAAATGCTAATAGAGACTATAATACAAAATGGTATTAACTACTATGCAATATTTTGTAGAAGAGTTGATTATTTCAACATTTATGCATACGGAGGTAATGATTTGCAAATTTTTAAACTTTCCAAGTGCTATAAGAGCTTGACCACACAGTCTCATTTATGTTTCGCGAGAAACGGTTTCCTTTAGATCTGAAAAGAAGTTGTATTATTGGCTTACTTCACATGTAAATAAAAATTACCTTTCGGTTTATATTCAGAGATTTTGTTAGCTTCATTTAACATAACCCACTGTTGAAATTTATTGGGATTCACAAATAAACACTTCTTATACAAGGACTAGGGGCAATATTTCTCAAAGAAGTATATTGGTTTACACGTATGCCTAACCACCGACTGCCTCGAGGAGCTATGTTTTGTGGTAGTAGGAGTAGGTTGGTAGGCCAAACCAAAACATGGCGCAAATCTATGAAGTCACTGACAGGTGGACTGAGTCATGTTGGTAGATGTAGGCTAACTGGTTGGAGTTTGCGAGGCGAAAGTAACCGATGGTTAGAGACCTTGAACGACATGGCTCAAAATCGTTTGCAATGGCGCAGGTGCATCCATTCTTTGTGTTCTATCAAATTCTTACCTTCTGAAATCCTCATTACCTCTATCTTCCTCTTTCGAAACTTATTTCACTGAATTATACTTCTTGAACAATTTCTTTGAACATTAATATTTTCCATTACCGCTAATACTTCTACTATCGCTACCACTATGGAATTTGAACTGACAGCTGCGTCACTCTGCTTATGTGGTATGGCAACCTGAACTGATGTACGTACGTACGAAGTTCTGCGTTGTACCTGTCTGTCTGACTAAACAGAAGTGTTGAAAAATACGATGGCATGTTTATTGTCAATGGCGCTCATAAAATTAGATAATACCGTATTGAAGATTGTTAAGCCTGTGAGAAACTGACCCATGAGTAGCAGGCTCGATCTAATTCAATTAGTCAATGAATGGACTGCATAACATAGACTTATCGATACGAATGAAAATAATTATTGAATACTGTTTAGGATATGATATTCGATTGTACACATTTGATTACCAACTACGTGAATCGAACAGGACTAAAAAAGGCTTAGTTATAGATGTAGTACTGATGAGTTCATCAAATCTTGTGACAAGACGCCTCAGATATATAGCTAGGTCTTACGAAACACCAAGAATGTGATAATCGTCAGGTGTTTACACTAATATTTGGAACCTACCAAAGGAGAAACGTTTACTATTGGAGCTTCTGTGGAAAGTTTATGGGTTGTTAAACCCTATAGGGAAACACCATAGGTGCAATGAAACATGTTTTTAAACAGCAGTTTTTCAGTTTCTTTGATACTCATGAACTTTGTCACTGATGATGCTTTGATAGCAGCTATGAAGGAAATGTAGCAGTGTACATATGCTATCTAGAGAAATGTTGCATCTTATTTATAGTTTTACTACATGATAAGTTAGTTAACAAAAGGAAACCATGAGTATGACATGTGGTTTACGAAACTGAAGTATGAATAGAAGTTACAAGATCGACACTTGATGATTTACTGATAAATATAGTCAGTGTGTGCTTATGGTGTTGACGTTAGTATAGCGAATGAGTGCATTTTTTGCACCTGGAAAGCCGGTATGTTATTATGAACCACAATAAAAACCCGTTAGGGATCAATCATCAAAACATCAACAATTATTCAGTTAGGGCTTGTTTCCTAAGATACCACGATGTGGGCGTGGGTTTGTATCCCACCTCTATCACACGCTTGTCCCCAAATGCCCTGGCACAGCCAAGAGTGAAGAGTCCGCTCTCTCTCTCTATAGAAATACTCTTATATGTCTACCAGTGTATAGCCATCGCTAAGGAAATCCTACTAAATGCTTTATCGCAGTGTTGCCCAAAAAATTAAGGCGAGGAAAAGCGAATGTCCGGCGCTCTAATCAGATTAGGGGTTACGGAGTTGCCACCTAGGGGATTCGGAGAACTCTGATCCTAAGGCAATAGCGGTCATAGTCTTCAATAGAAAAAACGGCTATCGCGGGACTGAATTTCCTGACGTCTCTCTACTGCCCTCTGGACTAGACTTCTCGGTCAAAGGCCCATCGAGTGGCCCTTTGGTAAAACCAGTTGCTTCGGTTTGGGCAGCCATGCATTATCCCAGCCCACTCATAAATTCTATAATTTGTGGCACATGAATGTATAGGTACCCCTATGTACTAATGTTTGCGTTTAAATAGATGCTTATCTAGTAAACATAATATAGCGAGCTGGAACACACTACACTTAGAAATAAAATAAGACCACTATATATGCAATTTATAGCTAACCGACTGTCGATATATTTGTTATGCGTATTGATGGACGGGTTGAAAGTTAATATGTATGTGTTAGGACTCCAAATAGTGACTAAAATTTCAGTAATGGTTCGATATACTATTTGAACTTAATCAAAAGAATATGATTTTAGATTGTCATACAAAACCAAAATATCGTGTTTGAAGGACCCTACTGTCCAGCTCCTTAAAAACGCCCGAATTTATCCAAGGCATTTTTTTACTTCTAAAATCCATTCTCAATGTCTGTCTTAAACTAGCGGTCTTATAATGCATCAGAGGTTGAATAGTACGTCATGAAAAACTAAATTTCAACTTCCTTGGAACCAAGAAAAGTTGGGACTCGATTTGAAAACTCAATTTTCGTAAAACATCTTTCAAGAGATACTTTTTAGTACTAAGGTGGAAGATAAACCAAGTAAACCAAAAATGGGAAACAGAGACGAACTTAGGGAAAATTTTGCACGAAACCCTTCTATAAACTTGATGTAAATACAGGCAACAATGCATCAACTTAATGCCATTTTCCCCTAACACAGCCCTCTGTGTTGTGAAAATTGTTACTAAATTGTTCTTCAGTTAGTACGTTTTCTGACTTAGATCGATTGCGCATACAGATTGTATGACGGGGAAATACATATGGGCTCCCCATCTATTCTTGTCCGTTCACTTTATTGAGATGCATACTATTGTGTGTTCGTGAAGCTGAAGGATAGACGTTTTGGTGTTGACTTTGGGGGAGAGTACACATTTAGGAGCAGTTGAGTGTTGGTTTAGAGACAATCCCCCTAAATGGGGGAACTCTGGGAAAGTCCTACTATTTACCCCGTTTTGGGAAAAAAGGTGGTAACACGATGAATTGGTGCCTGAATTTACACCAAGTTTACCAAAGAGTTTCCTACAAAGTTTTCCCAAAGTTCGTCTTTGTTTTCCCTCTTCGGTTTTTAGGGAAACAAGTTAACAGAAATTTAACATGTGTAACGATTATATGCAAATACTCCCTTACCATCTAACATGGTTTTGATAGTGACGGACTGTTTTGCAATAGCCACATCTATATCAAAAATCTCACCATCGGAACTAGCAAGTTTAATCGACGGCATCTTTAATATATTGAAGCAACCGCGGTAACTAACATCCAATTTTCAATATGTTTTTCGCGATCTGAAATAAACCGCTTCCTGATGTCACAATAAGGTCTCGGGTATTTGACAGTGTCAAATGGGTTAAGGTCTGGACACTTTGCTGGGTTTATTCTAGTCAGCCGGCATTTATTTGTGAATTTGTTTGTCATGTGACCTGAGTATTTACGTTTGTCTCAGAGCAGCTAGGTTTCTGCATATCAACAGCTGTCAAAGTACCCGAAAGGAGGTAGTTTGATTACAGTGTGGAGAATAATTAGGCGAAAATCCCAACGCTAGGTAGGAGGTGGGTGCTCCAGAAACAAGTTGGTAAATAGTGCAGACAGTTTTAGAGGACCACAATGTAAGGATAAAAAGGGAAACCAAAATAATATCAAGTGATATATTATAAGTCGGCGATATGACGAATCGAAATCGATAACAACAAACAAGTCTCAAGACATGGGCCAGGCACAGCTGGTCCAAACAGTAGATGATAATCCGTATGTGAGCACATGTTTGTCAAGTCTTCTGCTGATGCTATCCACTGGAAAGGTCTGGGGTCACTTCGGCTGAGAGAGCATTCCGGTCATGAAAAACAACAAGTTAGAAAGCGTGTGTAAGTATCTGGGGTTTAACTGTCTAATGAGTGATGGAATAAGTGATTTATTTTAAGAAGATACGGTTTCCTAGTTAAGTAGTTACTACCTGTCTTCATAAGTCTATTTTTAGGATGAGCAGATTATCACATGTTTTTTGAACATATCTTCAAGTTTGCAAAAAACTTACTGCACCATGCATCCTGTTCGACACTTTACTTCGGTGGTCAATGCGGAGAAACTCTCCGTTGCATATCTACCAAATGCACCTCAAAACCATGCCGCTAGTGGTATTCACCACAATGGCACGATGATCGTGTTGGATTGGCCTGGAACAGTCAATACGGTATATAACATTATCAGATCACCTCAGATTCTCTTATAACTCAGCGAGAACAAGCCAACATTTTAGAGTCTGTCTTCACAAGATTTATCCTTTAAGCTTACCACCTACTTTTTTCTCATTTATACACTCTCTCTAAGAGATTCGTATCTCTTTTGAAGAGAGTGGCCGCGACAAAATTGTTACCTTCATAGTGGACTTTGGATAAAGAGTTTGTAGGAACTCTCATGTTGGTGCGCAAGTTTGTCTTCACACAAAGCGAGTATTTGCGTCTGCCATGGCTGCAACCCGTATGGAGTCAGAGCTTTTGTTCAAGCTCCCAGTGGCTTCTAGACCGAGATCGCGTCTCGAAGGTGTTTGGGAGAGAAGTTCCGTGGAAAGAGTAGGTTGTTTATGTGGAACGTTCATGAAATGACATTTAGACTAGTTACGTTTTAACCCATTGTTCACTACCCATTCCCCTTTTGATGTAGAGTCATCTTTAAGCTCAAATGAATCTTTTTCGATTCTGATTCTGATGACCAGTCGTTTCACTAGCTTCGACGGTTGCAAATACCAAAGTTTCAGTAATTGATCTGCACGCAGAACTAACGAAATAAAGTTCATCCAATTAGACATAACTACATTCTTCTGCATCGCGTACAAATTTTTTATTAGTACTGCATTTTAAATTATATTAAAACAAAAGCTCTATGTTCATTTTAGTCACTTCTAATTTAAGGAAGATAACAAGTTACATCGAAATTACAAAATATCCCAATACGTTCAGCCTGTGCTTTACAGCTAAAGGCTTCTCTTGTACAAAGTAGCATGCCAAAACAGTAGAAGGTATGGTTATTGAATAGATGTCCGGTATCTAGAGTCAGTAAGATTATTCCCTACAAGTTGGAGTCAAATATTACCTTGCCAGAACTCGAAACACCGTTTCTAGTTGGCGATCGAAGGTTGGTATTTAACAAACCGTACATTACATTTGATTTTGTCGAACCTGAACTTATTGTCATTGGCCTTGTAATGACTGTAAATGTAAACCAAAGAGGAATACTAAATACTTGGACAAATAAGACTGAGGATCATAAAACATGGTTAAAAGAGCCCTAGGTAGGAGCTGAAATGCAAAAGAAACAACAATACTGTCCGATAAAACATCTTGGAGGGATTTTCGGAGCATTCTTTCCGTTACAATATAAACACATGCACACACGCTCAGAATAATAAACCAAAGGATTTTACAGCCCTAACTATCATTGTTAACTTATTTACTGATTCCTTCACTCACTTTCTTTGTAACTGATAAGTTGAGATATCAAAGAGTTTTAGAATATTTATACGAACATAATGTGTTGATTTGACCGTACTGGCGACCTAATCTGATTTCATATATTTATTATTACAAAAATGCTGAGGCATATTGGCATTGACGTCTGACGACTGATGCGGAAACAAATCAAAGTATGGGGTAGCTAGGTGATGTAGACAAGCAATGCCAGCAGACATCGTACGTGAGGTAAAAAGATGGAGTAGTGTACTCAATGCAATAATATAGTCATTTCTATAAACTTATTATGTTGATTCCGTTGTATTGGAAACTGAATCTTGCTTCAGTACGTAACTTTTCATATACTTACTTACTCCTACCACCACTAATACAACATACGCCTGCTATCAGGATTCCCTAACCAACTCGCTCCTAGGCCTTCTTTGATAGTTCTATCATAATGCACTTCATTCTCCTCGTATCTGTACCCGATTCTAGGCCTAATGTGTTCTTTGGTCTCCTTCTTTTCCTATGACCTTAAAGGTTCCATGCGAGGACTCGTTTCGAAATGCGGTTGGGCGGTTTTCGCGGTGTGTCTTTTCCGCCTCCAGCGCTTTTTTCTAATATCTTCCACCGCTGGAAGTTGGTTTGTTCTCTCCCGCAATAGGTTGTTGCTCATGCTGGTGTCGGACATGCATATCCGGAGTATCCTGCGTAAGAGTTGTTTGTAAACACCTTTATATTTCAAATGGTAGCATTCGTAGTTCTCCAAGTTACAGCACTGTACGACAGCATTGTCTTGACATCTGTATTAAAAAATTGTGACCTTGATGTTAGTTAACATACTTTTGTTCTAAGTTACAGATGGTCTTCAATTTTAGAAATGCCGCTTTTGCTTTGACGATCCGCGTCTTCACATCTGCACCAGATCCACCTTGTTCACCGATGCTGCTGCCCAGATATGTAAGAGTTTCCACACCTAAAACTTCTCCGTCAAGTGTGATTTGGTTGGTATATGTTGTGTTGTGTCGAAGGATCTCTGTTTTTCTTTTGTGTTTGGTGAGACCAACTGCTGCACTGGTTGCTGATATATCGGTCGTCTTTTCCTGCAATTTTTGTTGCGTGTGGAATAGAAGAACCAGATCATCTAACTGCTCTCTCCCAGATATTGGTGTTTTCATAGAACAGTCGACCACCAGGAGAAAGAGAAATGCTGTGAATAGGCATCCTTGCCTGACACCAGTCTTCACTCGGAATGTGTCTGTAAGCTGTCCCCATGAATGATCTCTCAGTTTAACCCATCGTAAGAATTCAGTATTATGTCGTCCATCTTTCATGTACCCAGTAGATTGGAAGTATCCTCCAGTGTCATTTTCACGCTGTCGAATGCTTTCTTGAAGTCAGTGAATTTGATGAAGAGCGGTAAATTCCATTCAACTGTCTATGCTACAACGATCCGTAATGTCGCGATTCGGTTGTTACATGATATATCCTTACGGAATCTAGCCTGCCGATCTCAACGTTCGTCGTCTACGGAGTCCTTCATTCTGTTCATCAACATTCTGTTAAAGAATTTGCCCGGTACTGATAGCACAGTGATGCGCCTGTAGTTTTCACACTTGCTGAGATCGCCTTTTTTATTTTGATGCCATGTTCTCCTTTTCAGTCTATTGGTACTTGTTCTACATTCCAAATCTTGCTGAGGAGAATATGGAATATGCTTACAGTTACTGCTACGTCTACCTTCAGCGCCTCAGCTGAATTTTGTCCTGTCCCGCAGATTCGCCGCTCTTGATTTGTCTTATGGTCATGCTCATCTCAATTGTTGATGGGTGAACACCAATCGGAAGGTACATGGGTGCTGCTGAATACTTGATCACTTTACCTAGGAGCCTGTCCAATCCGTATCGTCCCATGATGTATTCAGATTCATTGTTGTCTATTCCAACCTTTGAGTTTAGGACTCTAATCGTAATGATTAAATCCTATATTGGGCATTTCTTGACGATTGACTGCAGTCTCTCGTAAAACTGACTTTTAATGTCTTCATTGTAATCGTTGGTGGGCAGATAACACCGAATGACATTCACTGTGATCTTCCCTTTGCTTTTTTTTGAAGGATACTTTGATGATCCTGGGTTCATGAGATTTCCATCCCATAATTGGTTTTTGTGCTCCTTTAGGCAGCATCAGAGTAACATCTCGTGTATATGAGGCAGTTTCCTCTTTATGACCAGGGTACAGTAACATCCTTCTGAAACTGATCCCTTTTGCCCAAACTGTGTCCAATGTGTTTCGTGTATTTTAATCACTACCATCTTGTATGTTTTTACTGCCTCAGAAACTTTAGTAACCCTCCAAGTATCTCACACTGGATGAACATACCATGTGCTGATTTCAATTGTTGCTCTGGTTTTGAGAAGGGACAGCGGCTCGTCTTACATCAAGTCACATCATAATTCTTCTGAATGAAGATTTTCCAACTCATACGGCAGAGCATAGATTATTTGGACTACATGTTCTGATTAGCGTTTTTTGACGAATAGATCATCTATGGTATGGGGTCGCTAACTCCATGTTCGCCGTTCTTCCTTTATCCGGGTGCCAGACCGTCGGTAATGGTAAAACGGCTCCAGGGTTATACGTTCCCAGTGTAGAATTCTTTTTGAATGTTTTGTGTTTTTGGAAAATCCCTCCATGTTTACATATTTTTGCTATGACATGATGGACTTTTTCTCTTGACATTTTTGGTATTTTATTTGATTCCAATTTGAGATTTTATCATTGTATATTGTTGTTCTTTCTATATTTTGTACTTATATTGAAGTTTTTGTGTTTGCTTCTGAACTGTACAT